GACAGAGAGAGAGAAAGACGATCGCAGGCGTCAGGGGCGAGGTGGGAGGGGGGGAGGCCAGGCTGGAGGTACCTCAGAAGGAGGTCTGTATATAAGGCGGCTGAGGTAGGGTCGGGGTGTCCCTGGGTGAAGGGGAGGCCGGGGGGTGGGCGCGTCAAGGCGCGTGCGAGCCGAGATTTGGCATCGCGCTCCTGCATTCATTCCCTTCCTCTCCGGCCTCGATCCCGAAGGAGCTCCGGCGCGCCGGAGCGACAGATGATGCGAACACCTCAAAGATGCGAATACATCGAAGCGCCCGGAGAAAGTCAGCCTTCGACAACAGCAGCAGCAACAACAACCACAAACAGCAGACCCACTGTAAACAATGAGGCAACGTGAGGCGGCGGCGATCCGATCCCAAATGATCATGAAAATAGTCTTAGAACTGCAAGGTTGGAAAGGGACCCTATGGATCATCGCGTCCAGGCCTGGTCAAGGAGGCACATAGCGGGGAATCGAACTTCCAGCCTCTTGCTCCGGCTCAGTGGTACTTAAACCACGGAGCTATCCAGCAGTAGGACTTCTTCAGCCTTTTCCGACTTCCTCCCCAAATCCCAGTCATGGTTCAAGCGAAGTTGCTTTTGCCCTGGAGGGATGAGAGGAGAGAAAGGAGCCCCCCCACCGCCCCCCAATAAGTTGTTCCAAAGGTTCAAAAAGAAGCGCAGCCAGCAAAAAGGGTGGATGTGGGTTGGAAAGAGCGGGATGTGGTGAGCTGTTAGGGTGAGGCAGGATCCACAGGTCATTCTGCTGAAGGAGGTCTGGCTGGACAACTGTGTGCTAATTTGCAGACTTCTGGACAAAGAAGGAGCTCCTGAAACAGGATTGCTGAGGAAAGAAACCGGCCGGCTAGGGGATTTTGGGATTTGTCATTCAAAACAGGAACTTTTCTGCAGGCTTAGTGAGAAGCCACATATTCTGGGCAAGCCCAAGGGTTGTAGTAGTTGGGGGGGGGAATAACCTGGGGGATAAACAGCTACCAAGGGGAGGAGAAGCAGCAGCAGGATGAAATCAGTCTGGTGAGGATTGAGCACAGCATCAGCAGTATGCTGAGAAGCTGGTGAGAAGGGCTGGAAAACTTGAATTGTGGTGCTGGAGGAGACTATGGAGAGTCCCCTGGACTGCAAGGAGTACAAACCTATCCATTCTGAAGGAAATAAGCCTGAGTGCTCATTGGAAGGACAGATCCTGAAGCTCCAATACTTTGGCCATCTCATGAGAAGCGAAGACTCCCTGGAAAAGACCCTGATGTTGAGAAAGTGTGAGGGCAAGAGAACGGGACGACCGAGGACGAGATGGTTGGTTGAAGCGACCAACATGAATTTGACCCAACTCCGGGAGGCAGTGGAAGACAGGAGGGCCTGGCGTGCTCTGGTCCATGGGGTCACAAAGAGTTGGGCATGACTTAACGACTAAACAACAACAAGACTTCTTTACAAATGAAAATGACTAAATTGAGGGTAGTGTATTTTGGACATCACATGAGGTACAGAGAATCTCTGGGAAAAACAATGGCACAGAGCTAGTCTAGGTGGAACACATGGTTTCCATAACAACGAGTAAACTGTTAAGCATTCGCTGTCCCTCAGACCCCATGTCCTCCTGCCAGTGTTCCCTACTGACTCATACTGATCCTACGTAACACAGATCAGGGCCGGCAAATGTTCGCTTTAAAGAAATAGTAATAATAATAATCTAAAATTCCCAGGGGAGCAAAACATGGACTAACAGAAGCTGGGCCTCGGAAACTGTGGGCAGCAACCCTAAAGGCCTCTTTCCTCAGCCAGAGGTGACAGTTAGACCGTGGCCTAAAATTTAATAAATGCATCTCACATCCCCCACAGCGGTGTGCCTTGGGGGAGTGGGGTTGAGAAATGCTGCCCTAAAGACACTCTCTGCTGAAACCAAACTAAAGAACGGTCCTCTCCTATTCTTCCCATTACTTCTGGGAGGAAGTTACATTGGCAGCAAGTTTTCCTTTACAAAAGTAACTTCTATCTCTTTCATTTATTATTCTCTCTCTCAACCCATCTCTACCCCAGTGCCAGAGAAGCCTGTTGCCTCATAATTTGTTGTCATAGAACTATGTTTGAACTTAAGTTGTGAAACATTATTTTATTCATCCGATCTTTAAAAAAAAGACTACTAGATGGCAAGGAGGATGGGCAGAGGGGGAAATCCTATCTATCTATCTATCTATCTATCTATCTATCTATCTATCTATCTATCTATCTATCTATCTATCTATCTATCTATCTATCTATCTATCTATCTATCTATCTATCCGTCTGTCCGTCCGTCCGTCCGTCCGTCCATCTCTAACTAACTAAACAAACAAACAAATACTTCCATTAGTTCCTGAGAAAGCAAATGGGAGCTGGACTTATTTGGTTACTGAATTTAACTCTTTTTGCTTTTGCCGCACATGCTTTTCTACAAATTGTGTCCTAATGGTTTACCGTAGCCCCATGAACTCACAAGAACACTATGTGCTCATGCTGCTTTTTTTTAAAAAAAAAATGCTATGGCCAGAGAACAGAAATGAACAGCCAGGCCACACAAGCAGCAGTAGGTGAAATCCTGTTCCAATTATACCAGAGTGGCAGCAATTAGGCTGCTGAAATGGGGCTTAAGCGGCCATGTGCAGGTGCCCATGAATGTTAAAGGAAACTCTTCACCCACTGGTGGTGTGCAAGATCCCAGCCTGATCTGATTCACAGGGTCATTGTGAGGACAAGAGCTGTATATGCAGCTTTAGGCTCCATGGAAAGGCAGGTGGTACATACCAAGTTTTAAGGTATTGAAAAGTTGTTTACAGAATTATCTTGCCTCCACTCTTCCATGCTTCCTATCAGTCCCACCCCACAGGCATAGCGGCAGATGACACATTAAACACAGCAGCCGAAATTCTGCTACTTTCATTTATGCTGCACGGGCCGCATTGTCTACAGGTTTTCAGAAATACATTCCAGTTCCCACCCGAAGATCCCGAGGCGTCTCTGGAATCGTGGGGAAGCCATTTGGGGCCATGGGAAATTTTTCATTTCCTAAAATGGCCATCACAGGTAGTCATCCCAGTGGCAGAGATTTTTGGAAAGCAAAGCCTTCACTTGGTGCCCTCAAAATGCTTCGCTGGGGTGAAAGCAAAGCAATTTCCTTGGTTGCCTTGAGACCCACGAGCGAGCGATTAAAAGTAGCCCCAGGGCACTATAATTTGGAGCAAAGGGGTGCCGAGAAAGTGAAGGGCAGTATCGCCATGTTTATGCACTGTTGAGGATGTGTGGGCAGTAAACCTGTTGACACCTATACAGATTGAGGCTCCCTCACATGATACTGAAGAACTCTTATGTTCAGCACTGAAAACTCAAGTGTCCTAGTATCTGCTGTTCTTTTGGTAAGAGAGAGCAGGAAGTAAGAACCAACATATTAGGCAGAACAAATTATGTTTACTTTTTTGCTCTCCACAAAATCTTACCATATTGACAGACTAGTTAACTTGGAAGTAACTCGTTTTCTGCAACTAGTACTTTTGCAGTAACCATGGTGTTACTCACAAGGCCATGTTGATAGGAAAAATTGTTTTAACTCATTCTGTCACCAATTCTGAACAGCAAATATTGCTCTCTGGGTCGAAGGTGAAAGGAGACCCGGCCAGTTTGGAGCTGGCCCCATTTGCTTTCATCTTATTTGGCACGGTGCAATATCCGAATTGGCCAGTAGAGGAACCACATGACATTTTTTGTACCGATCACGAAAAGACAAACTTACCTGGTTTTTAAAAAAAAAACTTGAAAAACTTTTATTAAAAATAATATCAAAATCCATTTTTTACAGCACAGGTATAGAACAGGAAGAAAAATTTTACAAAAAGTACATGCCAACACTGTAGGTTGCAGCGCTTCTGTTGAGTGTCCAACTCTGCGCTTGATTGCTGCTTATTTATCATGCTGGGCTGAGCCTAAAGCCTCGTCCAGCACATATGCCTTCAGATGTTTGCCCACGAACAGGGAGGTACTTCACCAGATACCGGGCATGCTGTTGACAGGATATTGCACCAACCAGAAGTAATATCACCCCCCCCAAAAAATCAGTGATCATTTGTCCCTGAAATGATTTCACTTTTTTTGTCCACTTGAATTTTTTTTGTCCATTTGATAATTTTTTTGTCCACTTGATTTTTTTGCAAGTTATCACCCCCTGAAAAAATATAAAAACATACAACACATAACAAAATTTGCTACAAATGGAAATTAATAGTTTTTGAAGCGATCAAACATGATCAAATAAAACTCCCATGTTCACGAGGAGTAACTCTCAGGATAAAATCCCCAGGATGATGCTGTAGATTTAATAATGGAAACTGAATAAAAACCCTTTCGGTTCTTGTTATATTTTTAAATGCCACCCTGAAATTCTCTCAGGGAAGACTGAGCTACAATAATGATTAAGTAGCAGCGGAAAGACACCAACAGGGTCATTTTATTCTAGGTCTGCTTCCAGGAAGTGTTTGTGGGTGGGTGAAAAGGGTCATGTTGCTCCAACCAACTTCAAGAGAGTACTAAAAAACATGGCAATTTTCACTCAGGCCAGACATTCAGGGAATCCTCGCCAATTTAGCATTTTTAAATCTAAAAACAGCAAAAGGGATACGTAAAGGGACTCCCTGCCATCTCCACTGTCAGCCTCCCTGCATCAGTGAAACAAAGCACTGTGTGGCTCACAGAAAAATCAGCATTTTCCACCAGGGGTGTATCTCCACATGGAACTGTTGAAGGCAGATCCTTTGGCCATAAAATAAAAGGAGGACAACCAGCGGAGAAATGGCTTTAGATTGGAGGTCAGCAAGGGCTGCCCTCCAGATCCAGGGAAAGAACATGGAAATTAACAATTTTTTAAAAAGAGAGGTACAGTGGCATTCTTAGATGGTTGCTGAGGACAGACCTTGAGGCTTTTCCAAGGCCAGATCTGCAATCCTGCCTGTTCTCCTTGCACATAGGTTCTTTTCACTGCAACAAATTGGCAGGGCAGGGGAACTGTCTTGTAATTTTAGCTTTCCCGCAATGCCCCAGAGGAATACTTTCTCTGGGCATTATGGGATTGCTAGAGTGGCAGCTTCCTTGGAGCAGGGTATTCACCATTGCTACCAATAAGCCTGAGGGAGCGGGACCAGCGAATACTAGAAAGGCACAGACAGACGAGTGCAGGGAGAACCCACCTAATCCTGCTTTGCTGAAAAGTCTTGTGAGCCTAAATAAAGCTAATCTTGTGACAAACTGAATAAAACTGATGCGGGCTTCCATCCATTACAAATATATGCTAAGGAAACTGAATTAGGAAGCACAGAAAGCAAGCAAATTATCCACCTTGGCTCATCAATATTCTATGCAAGCTTGCCAGTACTTCACCCAGATGACTTTGTTTTGGGAAAAAAAGTTCTTTTCCCGCTCAACAGATTTCTCTTTCTGAAACCATTTCCTCTGGTGGGTGGGTTTCCAAGCTTCCTTGTTCCACAGCAGGCAAAAGGCTGGTGCATACGATCTACAAACGATTGGAGGAGCCTGCATCGGCCACCGAAAGGGTCCCGCAACACCTTTAAGACCGACAGATTTATTTTATCATGAGCTTGAGTGAATTAGAAATCACTTCCCCATAGGCACTGAAACACTTGCTAAAACATGATCTGTTAGCCTTTTTTTTAAAAAAAGTAGTCATCTCTACTGAGTGAAAAGCTGCAAACCTTTTCTCACTGGTGCATTTTGGTACTGAATCATTCCCAGTGTCGCTTCCTTTCAAAGTGCTCTTCTGAAACGAAGGGTCTTAGGAACTCCGTTGTTAATTTGTGCCTACAGTGTTCATTGTGAAGTCTGCCAACTTCAGAATATGAAAGAACCCTTGAAAGAGTTGCACATGTGGGGAGCACTTTGCAGGTGAAGCACTGATTTCAATTTTTCCCCCTTCCATGCTAATCTGGAAAGGTACAAAGGCCCTCGCAGCTCACATGGTGCCGACACAGCGATGAGACAGGCAGCTAGTCAAAACATGACTACTCCATTTGGTGCTATCAGAACTGAATTAAGTAATTGTGTTCTGCTTTCCTACCTTGACAATGTCTCTCCCTGCTACCAAAAAGACATAAAAAAGACGCTTCTGGCGGAATAAAACACTTAAAAAAATAAACTTTGTAGACAAAAGTTAGCACCGTTAAAGAGTAACCTGCCTTTTCACTCAGCCTTGCTTCTCTGTCTTCAACAGCAGTGCACAGATGATGAAAAATGTGGTTATTTCTGCAGCTCAGGCTTGCTGAGTGTGGCAACCCTATCTCCAGTGTTTATCTTTTACTAGGCTCAGAATGGGTTGTGAAAGTGAGCATAGCTATATTTTTGCTAGTGCTGTTCATACATCATTAGAGAGAATATCACAGAAGGGAGTCTTGTTTTAAAGGGGGACTGCGTGGCCAAGGTAGAAGAGTTCTAGTCCTGTGACTTAAAAAAGAGTCACTTCTGTGTCAGCCAAACAATGAAATTATTCTGCAATGTTTTTTAAAAAAAGTAAACTTGGTTTTTCTGCAAAACTGCCAGCATGACAGAAGTAAGCAGCAAATTTTAAGAGTATCATGATACCATGTCACAAACTGAATGAAGAGAATCATGGGCTTGAAAGGTGTAAAGATTAGCAACACATCAAGAAGGGTATCAGCCTTCCAGTAGGTGATTTGACACATGCAGTTAAGAGTGGCCATGTCTACTTTCATGTGACTGTTTAGCTCGTCATTCTGCATGGTAAGATTTATAATGGCCAGAACTTAGCCAAGCATAACTCTTATCCAAATCTTGAGGGGTCATGTTACCACAGATCACAGCCACACTCCAGCAAAGGTGATCTGCTGTGCCAGAAGGAGACACAAGGAAAGAGCGAGGAATGCTGTGTGCAGATGTAGGCCAAGCCTTAGGCCTTGTTCTGTATGGCTTCCCATGAGGCATTAGGTGCAGCATGTTGGTTGAGATGGGTCTCTGGACCAGAGGCTGTAAAACCCTCCAGAATCAAAGCTTCTTTAAAAATGCTTCAGGGACCTCATGTCCTTTCTTACAAGTCCTGTGTATAGGGCGAATCCAAAAGTCTGGTTTTCCTCATGGAAAGGAACCTTGCCCAAACTGATGAGATTCATTTGTTTCTTGGCACTGGTCAACAGGTGTCCATAGCTGCTCCAGGCAGAAAACACTAGTTAACATCCTCTCCTTGTAGCCTCTTCCACACAATTCCTTCACGGCAGAAATGAGAAACTTGCAGGACTGCAGTTCCCATCATTCCTAGCCAGGACAACCAATGAGAAGGAATGCTGGGAATTGTTATCCAACACACACTTTGCTCACCCCATCCTTCCTTATCAAAGCTTCGTGGATTCTTTCTCTACAAGACGAGGAAGGCCCCAAAGAAACTTGTCTCTCTGTCCATATCTACCAGGTCCTTGCTGCTTATGGAGACAAAGATCCGGTCATTGTTTTTTAAGTGAAAGACTCCACCTTGATATATCGAGTAAAGTCCATATTCTGCATTTTTGGACCAACAGCTGGTTCTGGCGCTTTTCATCAACAGGATAGGGTCTGGGTAGTCAGTGAACTTAGAAATGTACTGAACCATTTGTTTTGGGTTCCGGACACTATCTGAGCCAGGGTCTGAATCAGGTTCTACCCCCTCAGGTTCACGGAACCGAAAATATATTTGAGAGTAGATATAATAGAAGCCTGTCTGTCGTATGACAAGTTCCCCATTTCTCAAATCTACGTTGTAGCAAAAAGAATTCCCTCTTCTGGATGACTCCCATGTGTTTATTTTATAGCCGAGATTGCTTCCCAGTGCAGTATCTATGGTTGGGTAAAAAAAAGACAAAAGTTGTTTAGTGATAGATTAAGACCGACAGATATAAAGCATAGAAGAAAAAAATTCCACAACTTTAAGGTATATTTAAGAAACTGAAAATGTGCATTTTGTTCATTCTTGATAGCTTTCATTCCAGAGTTTTTACAAACCATAATGGCCAGAGCTTGGATGCCATTTTAGATTTGTTATGTATTACTGTTTTAATTAGGTTTTTAGTGCTACTTTACCATTTATCAGAGTGGTATTTGTTTGTTCCTTTTAAATATTTATTTTCAGTTTTAATATTGTCTTTCAATGATGTAAGCTGCCTTGGGTCCTTTTTAAGGAGAAAGGCTGTGTAAAAATATTTTTAATAATAATAATAATAATTTTTGAAGCTACAAATTCTAGATCCTGTTAAGGATGATGCCAATTTACTGATTGACATGTAGCAAATAAATAAAAATATACTACTGAACTTAACTCATTTTAGTATTGATTAGTTTTCGCATATAATAAAGCTTCTGTAAACCAGCAAACCCTGCAAAGAAGTGAACCAGAAAATAACAAACTGGAATCATTATTCTCAGAACTTGTGAAAGTTATTTACTATCTGGGGGACCAAGGGATAGTTGAAAAAGGCAATTTTTCAAAGTTTTGGCTACTTTTAATGAAAGACTGACCAGAAGCCTACGGCCATTTTATATTTGCTTTAAAAAAAAAAACCTGTGCAACTCTTTGTGGGAAACTGGCACTCACTAACAAGAGGCTGGTTGCGTTCTCGTGCGTTACCACCCATTGTGCATTCACTTGGAAATGATTCAGGAGGTTGGAATAAGTAAAATAATTAAAACAAAGCTATGGAGCAGCTGGATATGGTCGTTCACACATGCCCTCTTAGCTCCTCCCTCCCTCTTTTGGGAATCCGTGGAATTCCCAAGGTGCAACCAGTACAGTGGTAGCTCGCTAGACGATTCCACTGAATTCGCTGTTTAACGAAATCGTCTAACGAAAAGCATTTCCCCATTGGAATGCATTGAAACCTGTTTAATGCGTTCCAATGGGGAAGAATTCTCGTTGTCTAGCGAAGATCGGCCATAGGAAAGCCACTTTGTGAACCACCAATCAGCTGTTTAAATTGCTGTCTTGCGAAGCTTAGGTCTCAAAAACACCCGTTTTGCGAGCACGGAGGAAGCTGTCAAAATCGTTGTCTAGCGAAAATTGGTTTGCGAAGCAGGGACCAAACATTGTCCAGCGAAATTCCCTCCATAGGAATCACTGTTTTGCGAATCGCTATAGCGATCGCAAAAAGTCCATGTCTAGCAAAAAAAACTGTCATGCGGGATAACTGTCTAGCGAGGCACCACTGTACCTTGTTAACGAACATCCATTTGCTATCAAGTCGTCTTCAATTTCATGTAAGCAAGCAAAAATCAGTCACAGAATTTGGGCCACTAGTCCATTTTCTGGTCATTTTCACAGAACAATTTCCTCCAGTTGAGGGAGAACTGGGTAAACAGGGAATGTGCATATTCAAGCACGGATGGGATCTGTTCACCATGAACAAGCTAGAATAGGAATAAACCCAACAGGTCTTCTGTACACAAGCAAACAACAACCATGTCTTACTTTGTGTGGTTAAAGCACTCTTTCTGTTTGGGTTAGCCGTCAGGTGAGCGGCCACTCTGGGTACGACACTCTGAAAGGCACCTCCTGTTTCAGTTGCAGTGGGATCTAGATGGAAAGAGAAAAAAAAAGAGGCCCACATTTAAATGTCAACTACGGTTACAGCCAAAGCACTGCTGTAGCAATGAGAGAGGTCTACACTCTGGGTTTATGGAAGCAACATATATCTATGGTGACCAGTGGCCATAATAGATAGCCTTATTCTCCATGAATTTATCTCATAGTTCTCTCATTAGCATACAGTGTGAGGAAGTTGCTTTTAAATTACAGCCACCAGAATTCTCAGTCAGCATGGCCAGCTGCCATTCTGGGTGCTGTGGTCCAAAAAGTAACTATTCCAAGCTCCGGGGTGTTGGGGTTCAACTATGTGCTATATGAAGAATTCATTCCTTTTTATCAGTCCAGAATCTTCAACCATTTTCTTTCTTTCTTTCTTTCTTTCTTTCTTTCTTTCTTTCTTTCTTTCTTTCTTTTTCTTTCTTTCTTTTTCTTTCTTTCTTTCTTTCTTTCTTTCTGCCTACCTACCTACCTACCTACCTACCTACCTACCTACCTACCTACCTACCTACCTACCTACCTACCTACCTACCTACCTACCTACCTACCTACCTACCTACCTACCTACCTACCTACCTACCTACCTACCTACCTACCTACCTACCTACCTACCTACCTACCTACCTACATTGGTGCCTCACAAGATGAATGCCTCACAGGACAAAAAAACCGTAAGACGAATGGTTTTTTTGATCGCTATGGTGCTTCGCAAGTTGAAACACATTTGAATGACACAATTTGGTTCAAACCAAACCATACCAACTGTGATCCAAATATTAATCTATAAACCCATCTGGACGTACCCTATGATGCACACAGTCTCATAGCCATCATGGCCAGTGGTCATGCTGTGGTTGCGAGATACTGGAAGATGTACGCCAAAATCTGCCACTTTTCCCCATCTCTAGCATTAGGATGGGAATTGATTAAACCAGCAGTGAGGGCTTCTTCTATGGCTGTGCTTCGCAAGATTTTTTTTTTTTAGACTGATGCCTCATATGGCCGTGCTTCACAAGATTTTTTTTTTTTTAGACTGCTGCCTCACAAGATAAAAAAATGCATTCGTCTTGCGAGGTTCCCATAAGCATGCATTGCAATGCATTCCTATGGGAAGCCGCTTTTCGCAAGACGATTTTTTTGCAAGATGAATTACATTCGTCTTGCGAGGCACCACTGTATGTATTCATGTATGTATGCATGTACGTATCTATCTATCATCTATCTATCTATCTATCTATCTATCTATCTATCTATCTATCTATCTATCTATCTATCTTCTGGAAAAATACACACACACACATATTTTAAAAAATGCAAAGTGTGCTGCTTATCTACTGTCCCATAGCACTTAAAGCAGTAGAAAGTCTTACCTGGGTAGTTTACAATTTAATCATACAGGCTACTCACTGCCCCCCTCCTCCCAGCAAGAAAGGTACTCAATTTATCGACCTTTGAGGGCTGAGGGAATCTCAAGCCAACTACCTGGGATAGAACTTGGTTCATGAGCAGAGTTTTGGCTGCAGCACTGCAGTTTAACCGCTACACCATGAGGCTCCTACTATTTAAACATGCAAAAGGCCTTCTTTGCTGATGTTCCCAGACTCTGGAACTCCCGCCCATGGGAGGCCAGACTGGCCCCATCATTGCTGTCCTCCTGCAAACAATTGAAGACCCTCCTCTTCAGGCAGGCTGTCTAGGAAAGGTTTTAAAATGAGATAGTTTGCAGTTGTTGCTTCTAACTCTGTTTTAGTTATGCTCTTAATATAATTTTATTTGTTTGTTTAATATAGGAATAATTCACTGTTTTTAGCTTTAATGTTGTGTTTTAATGATGTAAGCTATCTTGGGTCCTTTCATAGGAGAAAAGCAGGGTAACAATGTTTTTTAAATAAATAGCCCAACTAGTCGGACACTATCCACTACACCACACTGGATCTCTGAGGAGGCCAAGAATAAAACCTGAGACATTCCAGCCAACAGACATGTCCTTGAGCTTTTCCCATTCCAGTTTTAAGGTTCTTTAGCCAGGCCTTCTACCCGAAGCACATCAATGCCTCTTAAAGCCAATCTACATGCTGAGAGTTTTAGTAAATTTAATCATCACACTTCTAATAGATTCATTCCTCACTTCTGTAGTGCATCAGCACAGGTGTTCACATCCTGTCCATCAAAAAGCATGTAGCAAACACAGCTGATGAACACATCACGGCTTCCATACCTATTGCTGAGGATGCTCCCGATGAGCTTGCTTCATTTGCTCGGTGCCTGGCCATCATCTGTAAGTGCAAGGATAACCGGATTAGCTTTTCCCCCTGACAAAATCAGGCTGACAGAAAAAATGCATGCAGCATTTGTCCCGCTTCTTGCTTATTAATAACTTCTAGGAAGGAATGGAAATCAAGGTCTATCAAGGGACCAACTGCTATTTAAGACGGGCAAGTTAAAACTTAAAATCAAAGGGACTGAAGTTCCCTGTGCATCAACTAGATTTTTTTTTCTTTTGAAAACTGAACTATATTTCAGAATCACCAAACCAGGATTTTGCCAATTTCCCAAGGTTAGAGTTTAAGGGAAGAAGACTTCATACTTGCAGTTTGCTGAGATTTGTGCCATAGTATGAATGTGGGACTTTCTACTGCAGCAGCACATAGCTTTTCAAGAGTACCCTACCTGATTCACAATGCACACTTGTGACACCTTAATGGGCAAGAAGGTGGTGAGATAGTTCAGTGGTTAAGCTATATGGCTGCAGAGCCAGAGGTTGGTAGTTCAGTTTCCCACTGTGCCTCCTGCCAAGTACAGCCAGCCTGTGTGGCCTTGGGCAAGCTGCACAAAAGGGAATGGTAAGCCACTACTGAGTGTCTTCTACCTGAAAAACCCTGAAAGAGGGGTTGCCATAAATCAGAATTGACTTGACAGCATAGGATTATTTAATGAGTGACAGACACTTTTTCAGATACATCTTTTTCGGTTGGTTTTCTCAAGTTAAAAACAATGTGCATTATTTGTTAGTTATACTCTACCTTCTCTCCAATGAACAAGGCAACCTGTGCTGTTCTGCTCCTCCTCCTCCCTCACTGCTTCTTTTTTATATACATTTCAGGGCCCTGCGTGGCCACTAGGGGCAGAAATAGGGCCTCCAGATTCATTAATACAGTGGTGCCCTGCTTGACGATTACCTCGTTAGACGAGGAAATCGCTTAACGATGTGTTTTTGTGATCGCTTTTGCGACCGCAAAACAATGTTTTGATAGGCAAAAATCGCTTAACGATGATCGTTTCCCTGCTTCGGGAACTGATTTTTCGCTTTATGAGGATCAGAAAACAGCTGATCGTTGGGTTTCAAAATGGCCACCCGCTGTTTAAAATGGCTCCCTGCTGTGTTTAGGAAGGCTTTTCCGCAAGAAAGGCACCCGAAAATGGCTGCCCTACGGAGGATCTTTGCTGGATGCTGAGATATTTCGCCCATTGGAATGCACTGAATCGGTTTTCAATGCATTTCAATGGGCTTTTTCATTTCGCTTGTCGAGGATTTCGTTCTACAGCGATTTTGCTGGAATGGATTATCCTCAAGCAAGGCACCACTGTATTGCCCACCCCAGCTGTAATTACAACATCACACTGGCTCCCCGACCAACAGGAGATGACAGATGGGAGTCATCACCTAACCCATCTGGAAGATGCCAAGCTGGAATGTTTATTGTAAGTGAATGTCAAGTGTCTTCTTTTCATGTGGATGTCATCAATACAAGTACCTTCTTAATTAATCTTGAGAGCTGCCGCTTGACTTGCCAGCAGGGGTCACTGTCTTCACTGTAATACGGATCCAGGTCCTCCAGGAAAAAGTTCTCCCTGGTGAAGCAAGCCATGTTGCTCTCAGAGTAAGTGCTGCGAAGCTGCAGGTAGAAAGGCATTTATTTATTGCAAACGAGAGCAACTGTTAGTTGAATAATGCATCACAAGGAACAGAAAGATATAAAATGATCACAGAGGTGCAACTATCAGAAGAAAAAAATATATATAGGTAGCAAAGTCCTTGCAGTTTCCTGAGTCAAACCAAAAGATATTCCACAATTTAACTTGTTTGTTCTCCTTTTTGTGCTTGGATACTATCTAATGGGGAAGAGTTCCACAATATTTGATAATAATATATATATTATTAAATATTTCTATTAATTTTTCATGCCATGAAGCTCAAGGTGTAAATACGTGGCTCTCTTCTCATCCCCATTTTCAAAACAACCCTATGCGGTAGGTCAGGAGAAAACCTTACTGCACAAACTTGCCCAGCAAATTTCATGCCTCAGTAGAGACTGGAACCTTTCATTTTCCAAATCCCAGTCCAGCATGTGCAGCACCATACTTGCAAAAACTAAAATATCACTAACTCTTTTAAAGAGTTCTATACAGTCGTCCCTCGGTTTACGAATGTAATTTTTAGTTTACGAAGCAAAATCCATTGAAAATAATGCCT